GATTTTTAGTTTAACAATTAGTTACAGCTGCATTACACCAAAAAGTCCATTAGTACTAATAAATCTTTAGAAGAAGTAATGCATATGCTGTTGGATTTGAGGGGATTTTCCAGGCAATGGAGTAAGGTATTAATGCACTTTTCCTGGAGGACTCTACGTATTATCTATTGAATGCTTGGTTGGTTTTGGTTTTTTTTTTTCCCAATTTGGCTCAATCAACACTGTCTTTAGGATGTGCCACAGAATCTTTTCTGGACAGCAAAAATATTGTACCTGTCAACAGGGAAACTGTCACGGACAGTTTGGCTTTAGCCCTTTAAAAGTAGAAATTTATTGTCTTGCTCACCTGAACATACTTAGTGTTGGATTGTTGATTTTATTTATTTATTACTTCAAGTTTCTAGCTGTGCTAAATAGCATGTCTTGGTCATGTATCTTCACTTCTGGTAAGTAAGTTTAAATACAAAAGGATTTTTTTCTTGTTAACAATAAAAGGAAGGTATGATACTTCCTTCCACAGAAAGTGCAGTGTATTCAAAGTTGTTGGTTTGATATAAAATAAACTTCTAGTAGGATTATGATAAGAAAACAAAGTCCTAAATACTGTGTGAAAATATAATACTTGGAGAATTTGAAAAATGGCTATTTTGCATTTTAAACTGTTCTGCTTTATAGAATGTGGCCTCCTTTTGCGCTGATGCAGAAAGTAAACTGATGAATTTGCTACAAAGAAATCTCTCCCTTACACCCAGTTTAACCAAAAGATGTGGCTTGGAATGCCCCTCTCCTTTTGGCAACTCAGGTCTTTATGCAGAGGATAAAAGTTTGGTAAGCTTCTGATAATTAATATTGTGTTTATACTGACAGTATATACAGTGAGGATATAAGCAAGTTTTATCCCGATAGCTGTGGGGAATGGTCTTACTTCTTGGTCCAATCCACACATTCTCTTCAGGGCAATGCAAGCTGGTTGGAAGCTTTCTCTGTGTGTGGGTTTAGGATTATTCCCCAGGAGGAACTGTGAGACTATTACTCCTCCAAGCAATACATGAAAACCTCCCCTTGTGGCCTGTGTTTTCACAGCATACTTAAGTATTCTGAATTTAGATGAGTAAAATGAATCATCAGTTCCCTATACACAATTTATCTCTTCCTTGATCCCACTGTGAAGATTATCTGACATCGATGTCACTGGAAGGAAAAATCTTGATGTATAAATTTTTATTGCACAGTGTTCTGCCGTTCCTACCTTTGGTTAGAGAATTTAACTGTTGGTCATCTTTTCCTAGATATTGTTCACTGTTACCAGGATTTAAAAGGGAAGAGGTGTCACCTAGTAAATGTTTGTGTTTTATGGCAGTCTTGACAAAAAATGGTGTTAAAGTACTCACGTTTCCCATGAAGGCTGCTGGTGGCAAGTTGTTCCTGATGTGGAGTACTGAGTGCAGTCAGAACAGAATTTTTTCCTGCCACTATCTGGGGGAGGTCAAAACACCCTGATGTGATATCAGTTCCTGGGGACTAAATTTAAGCTTATAAGGTACCCTTTTCCATTTCAGAGAGAGTGCTAATACTGACTTCTGAAGGTATAATTTATATCCATTTATTTAAGTATATTAACCAAGTTAAAACAAACAAGACATTAAAGGTATTCTCAAGTTAAGCATGAGTTTGAATTGATGAGCAGCATCTATCTTGTGTGTATAATCTTCAAGATTTTTGGTCTATATTCTATTCCTTTTTTCTTCATTTTTTCCCCCTCATTTTTCCCTATTTAACCTGTTGAGGATGTGTCCAATGCAGTAGAAGACTTAACTCCTTTTCAGAAGTGCTTTGATTTCTTACCATCTGGCACAGAAAAATTCCCATATACTTAGCTTAGATCTCAGAAACAGAATGCAAATGTGCTGCCTTAATGTACATGTAAACAGTGATTTATCAAGCATCAGTACTTGAAAGAGTATTATTAGTCACCATCAGAAGATACCAAACTAAAGTTAAGTTGGGCATGAATGATGACTTAGCATTTTTGTATCAGGGTTTTTTTTCTCCTCTGTTTTGTAGAAGTAATTGAGGAAGCTAATGAAATGGGACATTCTATTCAACATAAAACTTATCTCTTTTTAACTAGATCTCTTCCAAAATGGAAATAAAGCATCCAAGACCTTTGTCAACTAGCACACCAAATATGAAACTTGTCAGACAAGGGTCAGCAAAAACACCCTCATCTGCTACAATTAATGAAGATCATCCCAGAAACAGCAAAAAGAGAAAAGCTATGGACTTCCTCAGTTGCATACCTGCCCCTCCACCACTGACACCAATGTGCTCAACAGTTTCTCCATCTTTAAAAAAAGCATTTCAGCCTCCACGAAGTTTGGGTTTACAGCACAGCAAGTCACCCAGAGAAACAAATCAGAATATAGGTCATGTCACTCCCTGTAGAAAATTAAGAGAAACTGTCCATCTTCCTGAGAACGACCTGGTTGCTGATGAAGAACTTGCAATGATTAATACACAAGCACTCATGAATAATTTACCAGAAGAAAAGAAGACTGGTTCTGTAAATGAAAAGACCAATACAATAGCTACTAATTTATCTGATGATCTTTCACCCAAAACCAGTTCCAGGTCTACTGAGGAAGCCCACAACTCATCAAAAGGCAGTTCTGAAGTAGCTAAGGCTCTTCCAAAGGACTTGTTACCAGCCTGCAAAATGCTACAAAGACAAAAACCCCAAAAACGCTACTAAAGGCACATGTACAGTATTGTATATATTTCAAATTCAAATTATTTTTACACTTTGTACATTAAATCCTGATTGTATTTAATAAAGCTATATTACAAAACCAAAGACTTGTAAAGTCACATTTCCTCTGCAAAATAATTTGGCATTGAGTAACATACAATAGCATCACTGTGTCTGAAGGTTTGATGACATTTTGTAAGCCATTGCTTTGATTCTGATGTATTCTTAAATTACAGCAGGATCTTTGTTTCAGTCTAAAGCAATTATTTTTGTCACCCTCTGCAGTATTAGAATAGTTGTTTGGCTGTCAGAAGTGGAACAGGGCAAAATAAACAATTCCCCAAGTTTATTGTTACAAAAGATAACACCAGTTCTGGAATACTGCTCTGTAAGTCTGGCACAGTTTTTGTACTTTTCCCCTCAAACTTTCCCTATAGTCCTAGAAGAGCTATGATTATTTGATTCATAGCAAAATGCCACATATAAAGGTATTGATGATAAATCCTTGGTCAGTGTTTCCGAGATAAGTACTTTTTTAAGGACTGAGGCCACAGTATCATGAAAGATAATCAGATCTTTGATTCCATGAGATCTTTCTGCTGGGCATGAGTTTAATACTTTAATTCATTACTTTGACCCCTTTAATTTCAACAGGTAGATGTTTCTCAGAATTAGAGTTTCTGCACTGGAGAGGGAAACAGTCCTGCTAGACAGGCCACCAAGTCTCCTTTTTAGTTAATTTATTATCAGGCTGCCCCTTGCCCTGCAGCTTCCCACTGCATGTGGGTCAGAGAAGGGGAGGATGTTTCAGAACCGAGACCACTAGCTCCCCCTCAGCAACCTCTCAGGGGTCCTGTGCCATGTGCAGCTCAAGTGTGGAACTTGAAGCTGGATGTTGTAGCAGGAGTAGAGAACTGTAATGGGCTGACACAAGGTAGTTCTGTAAAACTTGTGCAGTACTGCAGAGCCAGGTTCCCTGGGCCCCCCAATTCACAACTGTTTACAATGATGATATAACATTTAAATGCAGCTTGAGTACAAAATGCAGTTCATTTCATACAATTTTGGTGTACTGAAGACAGTTTGGCTTTTGCCTAGAAACAGCATATTTCTTTATACTTCTTACACCTCTCTCTCTGTTGAAGTGCTAGATGAAGAGCTGCTATACCTGTATTCCTTAATGTCCAGTGTGAGCTGTCTTCATTTCCTACTGCAAAATAACTCACTGTTCTTCTGTTCCATAAGTATTGCCTCATAATTCACACCTGCTTAAAAACACCATCACAAATGTTGAGTTTTATATAAACATTTCACAAGGCTTATTGATGAGGACATAATCAGCAGAATTTAATAATATGGATAAAACTATTGCAGGATAGCTTCTCACTCATCCACCAGGCATGGGCTTCTTGGCATTTGGTGGTGGAAAGAGTTGATTTCTTTCCTTACAAGAATGGGTTTTTTTCTCCTTCCTTAAGTCACTATTTTGTGCTTGTTAGTTTGGGTATTTGGTAGCCTTGGGTTTCAGCTAGTCAGAGTTTCCCCTGTAGCCCTGTTCCTACTTAGAAGTTAACAAGCACAAGCCTGACACTAATGTTTCGTTTCAGGAGCCTCCTACATGGACGTGTCTCAGGATCAGTTGAACTATATCTTATCAAGATAAAGGGCTCAGTTTGGTGTGTTAAAGTGTTTCTCCTCCAGGCTGAAGGAGCTGTTTGGCTGTGCTACAGCTGAGGTAAGACCAGCATGAATCCAGACACCAGAGGGGTAAATAGAGAACACTGAATCTTGCTACAATCTGTTAGAGCTACCTCCTCCACCATTCACTCAGCCTCAAAGCTAGCAGTGATGCTCTAGGCAAAATGGAGTAGGAAGATAAAAAAGGTTATAGAGCCAGATATAAAGTATTGAAATGGCAACTGAGAAGGAATTGGCCACATGGCCTGTAAGAAAGAATTTAGGAATATTTGTTATCTATTAGTGACAGAGTGTGAGATGCAGAAGAAAAAAAAGTGTGGCACAGCCATTAGATTTCACTGTAAGCCTGACTGAATTTTCATGGAGGAAGAGGGACAAGAGGGTGTATATTTTCTACTGACAATAGTGTTCTTTGATCATGTAGAGCTGCAAGACCATAATCCAGTCATACTTAAAAGATTTGTAAGAAATACAAGTAATTTAGAAATGTAGTAGAAAAATAAAAACCAGTTTAGAAAAAAATTTAAAACTAGAGACTTTTTATACTCTGACAATTAAAATACACTGAGGAATCCACCTCTTCAGTTAAATGGCACATTGTTTGTACGAGCCACCGCATGAGGTCGTCTGCTTGAGAAGGCTGGAGCGGGGTTGCAGTGGGCACCCATACCATGGGCTGCATTTGGTCCACTGGAGCATCTCTCAGCTCTGCCTGGTTTTTCAGACTGAAGAACACTGTGGAAGGTAACATTGTGCTCATATTCTTCTTTCATCCGTTGTATCTTTTGTTGAGGGACATGATGAATATTTCTTCTGTAGAGTTAACATTAATAGAAAATACAAGTATTTAGCTGCCCAAGTACTAGAGGTTATCTTAAGGTTGCAAAGGTTCCTGATAAGTTCATGTTCCCGCCGATATATTTCTAGCCCTTTTTTCCCAAATTGTCATTCACTTCTACTTACTTCTTAAAACTATTATTGGGACTGCTGAAAAATGTAATGCAAATATTTTTGTGGGCAGCCGGGACATAAGAAGTTAGACAAATGCTTTGAAATGAAAGACCTATGTAGAAGACCTGTGTATTATATGAATATTGCTGGAGTTTAGTGTTTACGGCTTGTTAGCCTCGGGGTGAGCTTTTGTACATCTGGAGAAACACAGACAAGGCCTATAGATGGCCCAGATGCTGACTTATATCAAGTATAGAGGTCAAAAAAAAGTTGTTGCTTTTTCTGAGCGTAAGTGGGGAAAAAAAATCATACCTGATGCAGCTCAGGCTCCAGGGCAGATTTGTAAATGACAAGTTTGAGAGGGAGGAGGGGAACAGGATGCTCTAACATATGGGGCTTTCTGGAGACACCAGAAACAGCTGCAGTCTCCCAACATGTTAGTGGGACTTGTTTTTCCAAAGAGCACCAGGGACTTTTGCTTGTCTGTGAGTTTGCAAAAAGTCTGACAATCTTTGGTTTGGCCATTTAGCTCTATTAGGCACAATTCATCATCTAGAGTCTAGCAGTCCTGCACCCATACTTTCAAAGCCTTGCATTGTGCAAATCCTGCCATGGCTCACTGTGTTTTCTCCCTGGTGGAATGAAGGTGACAGCAAGGCAGCAGGTTGCCAGCTGCAGCGTCCCAGGTGTGAAGCAGGCAGGAGGTCCTCCCGCAGGCAGTGCCAGTACAGGCCAGACTGGGAGCCACCTTCAGCTGTCCCTGAATCATTTGCCAAAGAGCTGCTCCAAACTGAGTGTATTTGAATTAGCTTTACAGTGCTACTGTAACATGATGAAGAAAACAAAATACAAGTTACTGAGCAGCTTGGCCTACAATGAATGATTACTGCCTCTGCAGCGATGCCCTACAACTGGCTCCCAGCTGGTGCTGGTGAAGGAAGAGCTGACACTGGGCAGCTGACTGCTGAGGCTGTCAGTGCCCTCGCCTGCCTTCAGCCCCAAGCCCTCGGCTGCCACCTGCCATGTCTGGCCTTGCCCAGGAGCCACGAGCGTGCTGGCCACGGCCCCCTGCCATTTGTCATGTGCAAAAAGGTGCAGTGGTGATTTCTGACTAGAGGTCCTAGCTGGTACAAACCAAATCAGTGGGAATGAAGTACCCATGTCCTGTTCTCTTGTGATAACAGGTAAGTTAGCACATGTGAGCTTTCGGATCTAGTGGGTGGGAGTGCACTCACCCCCATAACGTAGTTTATGGCCTGTTGGTTAAGGGCTAGAAAATTAGCCTGCGTGGAATTTTTTTGTGATATAACCATTAACCCTGCAGCCACTAGCCAAACTGACATACTTAGAGCCATATTTGGCTGCCTCTATATCCTACCACACTGTGAAGAGTTGATGCATTCATTGCCTTCCTTCTGTGTGTGTATTTAGAAAGATTCTCTAGGACCCCATTTCTTGTCCACACAACATAGCATCCTCCTGTGCTACAGCAAGACAATCTTTGTTACGGTTAGATTTTTTAAGAACAGAAGCTTATTATCTGTAGTGCTTAGATGTGGTTTTGTTGCCAAACATAGAAAATGCTGCTCAAAATACAGAATGAAAATCAGTGTTCCTGCCCCAAGAAGCTTGCTTGCAGTATAAATGCACACTTCAGGGGTGTGTGTTGCTTTTTCTATTGCCTGACTCACTTCAGCACTGTCAGGCTCTTTCAGGACTGGATTCACTGCAGACCAGGTACTGAGTAATAGAAATTTTCCACGACAATCGTTCTGTTGTCATATACTAGGTTACTTTCTAGGGTATATGAAGAGGAAGAGGGCTGACCTTTCTCAGATCACATCAATAAAATGAGAAGCTGTCTGCTATATCAAAGAGAAAAAGATGTACCTTGTCAGTTCTCGAACATTGAACTTCCAGGGTGTATCTGGTTCTTGGAATACAACTTCATATCTATTTTCACGTGCCTGAAGGACACACAAGTTTAGACATATGGCTGCCTAGCTCAAGAGCAGCCAGTCTGCTAGACCCTCCCTGAGATATTATCTGGCTAAGGGATGTATCATATGTACCAGGAGCCAGAAAGAGGTGCTGGTCCCACCTAGTTTATTTCCTTCTACGTCAAAGGATTTGGGTCTCCCAGCAAAACTTGCCCCCAGTCCCCGTCCCCCATGGCAGTGGCATCCTGGCACTTGAAGTCTCTGGAAGTCACAGCTGGTTGAAGGGTCACAGGTTGGCCACACCAGTCTGGAGCTTCTGGGAGCATAAGGTCAACATCTATCAGTCATGCTATTTCCAGACACTGAGTCTACAGGCCTCAAGTTTTTTCAAGGTAAAGCAACATTTGTGTGTGTGTGTCTATATATGTACATACACACACAAATGTACCTATACATGCATATGCATATGTATAAGTATTTAACACAATTATTGTTTGGTTTTGTTTTTATTTGGGAGAAAGGAGGCAAGTAACTCTGTTGACCTTTTTACATCTTGCCCACCTCTGGCTGTGCTCTCACTTGCTTCCTAGTCACCCACAAGCATTCACAGTTGCTGCTGGAGTGGCATGTCCAGGCTTTCCTGCACTACTATTAGTTCCTGCCTCTTTTATGCTCCCATACAAGCAATATTTAGACCCAAATTTTTAACTGACAAGCCCATAACCCAGAACAGAAGCATGAGTATAATGTTAGCAGACAGGCCACATTATGAAACTGTACTAAAAATAGTGCCATGTCTGCCAGAACTCCTGACAAGAGATACCAATGCATCTTCAAAAACTATGGTGTATTTTTCACAAGTCATAAAATGAATTTGTAAGTCATATCTTGATATATTTGTCAACAAATAGTTTGGGAACTATTCATGTCACTACTGGGGAAGGGGTTGACATCCTCATCACCAAGAAGTTACAGGGCAAGTTCAAAGACAATCTTTTCAACTAATTTTGCTTTCACTGAGATATATAACTGATTAGACAGAACAACTACACTGGCACCTCTGCCCCTACTTCACAATATCAATCGTTAACTATAATCAGAGAACTAAGGGCAAATAGAAGTAATTACTTTTAGCCATATTATGAACTGTTGCAGTCAGACCACCTCTTAAATGTCATAGCTGAGCATATAAAAGCAATAAATCAAAGCTTTCCCTACCATCATCACATAAGGCTTCATTTCCCAAGCATGGATGTTGGTATTATCAATAATAACCGGGCTTTTCCCATTCTTCATTGCCTTGTGTGCTGTAATGTAACAAACACATTAAGTAAAGCTAACATGTATGAAATAACAGACCAATCCAGGTCCTCCTAGACCCAAAGTGTCCTCTCTTGGCTCACCACCAGTTGTGGGTCTGTAGCTAGCACCCAAACACGAGCAGAGGTCAGTGCCCAGCAGGAGCTCGCTCTCCTGGAGGAGGTCATGCAGCCACTGGCTGTGCTCAGTAGCAAGGGCTGAACCGCCCATAGACCACACCTAGCAGTATTGCAGCACCAGGTATTTACAACAGCTGAAAATGAGTGTTGTTTGCAAAAGATCCCTGTTACATGATCTCAAAGTGTTTGCTAGAAATGAGTTCAGAGCACAGCCACAAAAGCACATTATATTTTTCCCTCTGAAGTAGAGACCTGGGTTGTTTCAGTCTCAAAATTATAATTAGGTTTGCAAGTTTTCCTCCTGGCTATCACAAACCCCAGCTCCACAACACCCCCTTCCAAGTCAGGACAGACATCTAAGAAGTTACAGTCTGAAGGATGTGGCACACAAAGCAGCAGTGTTGAGCAGCTGCTGTGCTGTATTTGCATGCCACCTGCTGTTACCAAGCTTCAGCAGTCCTACCTAATAGTCACTGGTTTACTTTCTAAAATAATATCTATCAGTCACCAACATTTTTCCATTATAACTGTCTCTCTTATAAGTCAGAAGTGGTAATACAGTTTTTTTTTTTAACCAGTACCCTCTGAACTTCTGTATATGATGACACTTTGGGATATTTTTATTTTGGGAGCTAGGTTTAAAGACAGACTGAAAAGCAAAACAATTCTGAAAAACCCCTGGATTGATTTCAGTCACCTCGCTTTTGGTTCCATTTGTGTGCATCCTCTAAGAAGTCAGGCTCAAACATGTATACACCATTTTCAATAAAGAAGTCATCAGTACTAAGAATTACAGCACTGGGATAGTCACGTTTCAGTTGTCTGGAAAAAAAAAAAGATAGGAGGATTACTAGAAGGTAACACATGCCTTTAATAGAGAATATTAAATGAAGAGCTGTATTAAGGGTCTGCAAATATGCACAGTGCTTCATCTGAAAAATCCCCCCTTAAAGGATCTGAAAGTAATGTAATCAGTAGATGGACACATAGGAGGAAAGGAATGGAGCTTAAAGGCATGGCCTTGATTTCTTTAATTCAGCAGAGGAATCCACAATGGACTGCCAACATGAGTCTTTAATCATATTAGCATACTCAATTTTCTTTCTGAGTTATCTGAAAAGATATGACTGTAAATACAAAAAAAAACAAACCCAAAAAAACCCCAAACCTACTAAGCCCACGGAAGTTGGTCTCAAAAGACAATTTGATCATGGGAGTTTTGCTACAGAGAGATTTTTGAAGATAACTAGGAAGAATGATTTATCATTTAGTAAAGATAATCTATATTATCATCAGTTTGTCTTAGGTTTTTTTGGTTACAAAGGACATAGCACTTATTTTTTAAACTTGCAAATAAGTATCTGAGTGATTAGACAATATTCCCTATTATTTTTTGCAATTTTATGATTCTTTTTGCTATTCACTTGTCCCTGTTGTACTTAACCCCCCTCTTCTTGTAGAGCTGAGTAATTTTTATTTATTTTCAGCTTTTAAACATGTTTTATAAACAAACCTGAATTGCTTAGATTGGCAGCCCCAAATGCAACAGATCCATAAAACTGGTCCCCTGTGTTGAGTGGCAGAGGGCAATCCCCCTTCTCTTCACCCTGACGTTTGTTCAGACCCAGGATGCCCGGGGGGTGGGGTGGACATGTGCCCTGCTGTAAGCTGACCGGCTGCCTCCCAGACAGTGACTGGCCCTAGGAAGTGAAAATGCTCCTTACGTGGTGGCTGAAATACAAAGCATTACTCTGTCAGTCCTTGGAGAGCAGTAAAAAGAAAATAATGCAAAATTGTGTTCCCATTTGTGCGTAATTCAGACTTATTTGTGTCCACAGACAGAGCCGTCTATTTTTTCCATTAAGGGAGTGTCAGGGGTGGCAGGAGTCTTTGCAAGACATCAGGGAGAACCCACAGCATCATCTCATTACTGTCTCACCAAGGCCCCAAATGTCTCTGGAAAAGAAAGCAAAGCCAATCCAGAAACCTTGTGGCTCTCAGACATCAATGCTGTTGCCCTGCTATCTCATACCACACAGTCTCTAGTCCCTGGGACTCATTTCAGCTTCCCTGATTGAACACTTCCATACCCATAAGCTGCATAACAACTATTTCTCAATGTCTTATCTAATCGAGCAACAGCAAGGGAAAAGGTGCCTCTAGGTTATCGGCAAAAAAACATACACACAGACAGTAAAGGCTTAATTTTGTCATCTCTAGCTCTGCCCTAACCATTTACTTAATCTGCCTGCTAGCAGCAACTCTTTACTAGGATTGCACATCGCATTTAGCTGAATAAAGGCCAGTGTCTGACTTTGTTCCGCCTCCACTGTAACTTCTACCATCTGCTGATTAATTAATATTATTTTGTGGTAGCAATGGCCCCAGAGAGCAGAGACTCAGTGCTGACAGTCTGTCCAGGACTGGGCTGCAAGCCACTGTCAGGTGTCATTTAGCACCTACATACTGTTATCTTCTAGCTCCAAAGGATGTTTTATTCACATAATTACTGCTGGGCAAACAGATCTAACAAAAGTAATTTTGCAAACTCTTAGCAAACAGCCAAATTACCTTTGCTTTAATTTTGGTCTCAGGTAAAGAATTCTCATCATGAAAAGCATGGGAGCATCTAATGCTTAGTTACTCGTGCTCATAAACTGATATATGCAGTTCTCACTATAATTCAGCACATCACCTTTCCCACTGTTTTACCCATCTGCATAGCAATCTCTTCTCTAAAAAACTGACTGTGGTAAAGTGTGCATTGTTCCTTTAGTTACTAATAGGTACATAAAATTGTACATATTAATTAAAGATCACAAGATTTTTTTTCTTTGTCAGTGTTTCTTTTAAAAATGCTCTCAACCAGTGCAAATTTTAAAAATTATTTTCTTAGCATATACCTTACTAAATTTTAACATATATATGTACATATGCATATATTTTAAGATATATATGAGATCTTTGATGTTAACCCTTAAGCAATCTAAATAGTATGTGAGTATCTCTCAACTCAGTCTACTATCCTCGTATTACTGATAATTAAAGTACATAAATCTTGTGCCTCAAAGGAGGAAAAATATGGACAAAATGTGCTAAGATCTATGAATTACTGTCACATTTGCTGTACTCATACCAAACAAACTCCTACTAACAACAACATATGAAAACATTAGGGGGAAAAAGATGTTTTAACCATTTGCTTCTTTTGCTGTTTTTAACTTTTAGCTTTCTAAAACAAAACTGACACTTAAGTTTACAACCATTTTCTGTAATCCCCTATTGCCCCTGAATCTGACAAAAATCATATTTCATCTGTCCCTTATAATTTAAAAGGGCACTGAAACATCTTTAGTATGTTCCTTGAGAAATAAGCCTTCTACGAACACAGGACCACAAGCTGGCTTAGAAGAAAGGTTTTATATAATCACATCAGGCTCCTAATCACTGTATGCAATAAAAATGCTTGTAGCAAAATATACACCAGCTATGCAAAATGGGAGGAATTGTGACCAGTGTTATTAATTAACAAATTTTGAGCAGCACTGTAAAAAGATTACCATTAGATCAGTAAGTGTAAAGCATACTAAAGAGGAAAAGAAAAATTAAATCTCTTTGCAAGATCAAAGGGTACATATGAGCTATGTTTGCATTTTTTTTAAAAAAAGCCAACAAACTTGAAGCCCAGCACTGCACTAAGCAGTATCTGCCAAAAGTTCAGTATTAATTTGCCCACTTGGGACATTTAATTGCACAGTGTTACAGCTGTCTTACAGTAGATATCCATCTTGCATTAGATATATTTGCTGCTGTTTCAAGAAAATACAAAGGCTAAGAAAATGAGAAGAGCAAGGGGGATCATTCCTCTGCTTTGCAATAAATCTCCCCAAACCCTTTTTCCCCCTTCCGCAAGGCAAAGCAGATTTCCCCACCAGGTAATGTATCTCATTAGATTGGCTGATACAGTCGGGGACAAAAAAACTTTCAGATGCTTTTGCTCTTCAGCTCTGACACAACAGCAGCAAACTTCACGTATCCACGAGCAGGGCCTGGGAACTGATAAATCCCCTGGAAGCATGAAGCTGTTCAGAGGCACAAGCTGTGCTGCCTGCCCACACCACCTCCCAGCAATCCGGGTAGCAAGAACGCTTCTGAACGATGTGGCATCTTGGCTAGTGTTGGTGCACGTTCATCTGCCATCTCACCCTGGGCAGATTTATGATGTCTGCTGTGATTAAAAAAGGAGAATCTTTATGTTGAAAATACAGCTGTGTTTCTGTCTGACCACAGTAGCATTGTAACAACTGCCTCAGTGAATAGACAGGTGAGTTTAGAGTCTTCTGCGTTATTCACATGAAGATCTGGTCCCATGATTTATATCGTTTTTAAGTCCTCTTTTTTCTAAATAGCACCTTCAGTGCTTTCAAACAATCATTCCTGATTTTAACTGAACATATAGACAACAAAATAATTATTCAGGGTTTCAACTAGCTGGATGCATTAGAGTAGTTAGGAGAACTTTCCACGATCACTAGTAATATCATTGGAGATAAATTCGTAACTGTATTTTCACAGGCTGTCATGTTTTCCCATCAGAAAATTTGAAAAGAAATTAATTTCTGATTTGAGCCTGGTAAGAAGATCAGAAGGAACATTTTCCGTGCTCAGAAGGCAACAGCACAGCACGTCAGGCAGACCTCAGAGCCGGTAAATACCCAAGCTGCTTCCAACATAACAGGGATCAGAGCAAGTATGTACGGACATCACATGAAACCACTTGCTCCGGTCACTCCTCCTAATACAAAGCCTTGCTGGGGCACTTGAAAGCCTTTGGTTTCAGCAGAAAATCACAACTATGAGATCTGGAGCCCATGCCCAGCACTACCAGCTGTCTGCTCTGTTTTAACAACTTTGAGTGCCCTGAGGACTTTGCCCTGCTGGGAGCCTGCCAGCTGATCCCTGCACTGCTGGCAGAGCACAGACATGCCTTTGTGTCTCACCCGTTGGGGTTAGAGCAGTGGTTGCGTGTCATATTTGCTAAACACATTCGGGAGAATCACCTGAAGACGTTTTATACAAAGGTAAATGTTTGCACTGGAAGCGGGAGCTGCAGGAGCTCAAGTCTCTGAACCCCGTCAGAGCTGCAGTGCCGCAGCGTGGTCAGGGCGCTGGTAACAGCAGTGGGGCTGGCCCAGGGCTGGAGGTACAGGGAGGAACTGGGAAAAAGCAGCAAAGAGCTGGAGAAGATCGGCATTCACCACGCAGTGATGCCTCAGTGCTGATGCATTCTTTCCCTTGGGTTCTAGAAGATTGCTCCCTCTGTGCTTCATAAGGGAGTACAAGAACAACCTCATTTCCAGTGATAAATCAACAGCAGTGGCTGAAAAGTTACACATTCAATCATGCCCGGCCTAGTGCAAAACTTGAGCAAAACTGCTAGGTAGAGGGTTACATGGTACTTGAGCTGTGCATCACAGCAATATACTGTAGAAGAGCTGGAAATACAGCTACTCTGCAATAGAGTGTTGGGGAAGCAGGTATGAGCTTGTGTGTGGACATTTTTGGAAGCTGTACCTGCTACAGCACCTCAGCTGTTTTCTTAGCAGCTGCCTCAGACTGATCATGAAATCTGTACCGTGAAGTCGAGGGGAACGTGTTCAGGAGGATGTTACACACACCCGATGGAGGTGATGGGAGATGCAACTCACAGCTGCCCCTCTTCTCCTTTGTACTTCTGCTGGTGGTGACGTAGGGTGAGCAGTTACAGGGAGATGGTTAGGGTCACCTAAAATATGTGGTTCAGGGAAGCGTATCCTTAACAGTGAAGCAATTGGAAAGGTTTGGAACTTGGTGGTGAGCAGACCAATGCCTCATTCTGCCTTGACTATTCAGTGTATCACAGGTGGATCCTTCGCTGTCTTTACTGGAATCCAAAAGCCAGACCTGAAACAATCCATACTGGAGTGACTGGGATGGGGAAATCATTTTAACAGAGATGCCATAACTAAATCTTACAAAGCTGTGTTCAAACTGTGCTGGGTGACACTGAAAGGTCAAGGAAACGAGTCATGGATTCAAGGTTGTTCCTAGGATTGTGTGACAAACCGAAAAGGGGCCTTTCTGCTGGAGCTATCACCAGGTTGCCATATTACCAGTGATAACATTCACAGTTTGTGACACTCCTGAGCACTGTAAAGATGTACCAGTTGTAACTGAAATACTGGCTGATACGAAGAACAAATGAATGAATGGAGGTGTGTGCGAAAGCACCAGAAGAAACAACAGAGCAAAGGCTAAATTTTGGTACATGGTACACAGTGGCAGCCAAGAACATTGTTAACAGCAATAAAACTGGGAAAGGTGCTGTTTACACACCCACTCCCCACCCCCAAAGGCCAGCACTCAGCTAAGGCCCAGCACAAAGACTTGTGGCAGGAGGACCCATGGTCTGAGAGTGAGAGGACAGCCGGAGGTCACAGCAGCCTGTACACACCTTCCTTCTTCCCCTTGTTCCAACAGGGGGAGAGGCTGCAGCTGTAAAGACACCCAAAATGGGAAAATGAAAGTAATGGGAAAAAAAGTGTGCCTAAGATTCATGCAGCACCAAGGAAGCAAAATTCAGAGGCAAAAAGATGGCAGCACAGAAACTGCTGGCTGCAAGATGGCAGAGCAGACCTGACCAAAACCCACCCTGTCACCGCCAACAAAGGAACTCTGAAGATTAAGTCAGGATGGGTCAGCTGAAGGTCCTTGTCCTCTCTGATTTTGGGTAGACCAACTGCACACATTCATTTTGGCGCCTGCAAGTTTTTAGCTGTAATAGCATGAGTGAATAAAATCTGAGAGAAATAAATTTGACTGGGTAAAATGAGTTTACCAAGGGCTTTTGCTAATAAATAATGACCTTCCTTCTCCAGCAGTATCTTGCACAGAGCTTTGTTGCAGTAATTTTCTGCAGACATGGCTTTGCTTAGCATATTGCATTTACCAACACAATGTGTGCATAGCACACCTCAGAATTTTCTGGACATAGTCCTTTGATAATCTGGACAGAGTTAATGGAGAGGTACTAAATGACACTTTTACAGCTGTCCTTTGATCTCTATACTGCTGAATGGCTAAATGCAAAGATACAATTAATGGGGACTAGAAACAGTAAATTCTGCAAATGTTCATCTCACAGAGGACTACAACTTATACTTACAGGTGATTTTGCAAATCACTCATTAGTATTTAATCTTGTGTTTTGACCTAAAAAAAAAGGTGAGTCAGTTATTTGTGCTGCCTGAGAACACAGCCCCAGTCCATTACGTTCTTCTGTACTACAAGACGACCCAAACCCCTCTGAGAAGGGTCTGCACTTACATGACCTCTTTAGGGAGAGACATTGATTTTGGGTGCCAGTAAAAACACAGCACCTGGCTGTTTGCTGAAGAACTTGGTCTTGCATAAGCCCTATGAGGCAGAAGGCACAGTGTGACAGAAATGACTGTACTGAAAAGAGGAAACTCTAGGTTAACCCAGTGTATCGCACAGATTCATGCTGCCGCCTTTCACAGCAGAGATCCCGTGATCCCACCATGGGTCCTCACCCACGCAGAGTGAGAAGACAGCAAATGTGCCTCTTCTGATGGAGAGTGGGTGACACCGGGAGCTGTGAGATACCAGACGGTGAGATTTTGTGGTACTAGATTACAGCTGCACTGTGTCACGCCAACTGTGGTGGCATCTCCCAGCACTTCCCTCTGGGTTTTTCCACCTATTTTAATCAGTCTTGGAGCTGCTGGAGATTGGACGGGTCTCTTCTGCCCATTTTATGCACCTCTACAGCTCTGACCAGGAGCACAGATACATGAAAACAGAAGTCAGAATTGTTGTCAATTTTCAGAGTCAGAGAGAGAAAGTGACTTTACAGAGTTTGTGATTAAATACACACACATACACCACCAACCCACACCTCCCCCCTACCCCCTCAAAAAAAAAAAAAAAAAAAAAAAAAAAAAAAAAA